ATTTACTGAATATTAAATTTAAATATTTTATATATCATTTTGTAAAAAATAAAAAAACGACAACGACGAGATTCGAACTCGCGAGCCGAGAACCGGCATGGATTAGCAGTCCAACGTATTAACCACTCTACCACATTGTCTTACACAAACCTAAATTAAAAAATATAAACTAACGATTTCTTACCTTAAAAAATCAAAAAAATGAATTTTAATATATTTATTTATTACTAAATTTACATTTCTCTAAAATCTCTTTTAGGTTCATCAGCATCTTTCAATGTACTAAACAATAAATTAAGCTCTTCTTCATTTAAAGTATTAGTATTCTCACCTTCTATTCCTGTGTTCAATTCTTTTAAAATACCTTTTCTATCTTTTTTAGGTTTTTTGTGTAGTTTCATTGGAGAGAATGTGTTGTCTATGTTCATGTTTTCTTTGTTGGTTTGGTTATGGGTCATTTTTTAAAAGGGGCATTTTTTATTAAATACCAATGGAGGGAAATTTGGAGGGAGTTAGATCATTTTATTCTATTGNTTGGTCAGTTTTTTTTCCTGTCAAAAAAAATTTAAAGTAAAATTTTTATTTTTAAATATTTAATTTATTTACTTTTTTTTATGTTTTTTACTATTTTTCTTTCTTATTCTATTTAGAGTAATCAGTTACTTTTTCTAAATTAGAATTTTTAATTTAGTTTTACCAATTAATAAATTAAATATTTAATTAAAAAAATAATTTAATTAAAAAATTAATTATTTAATTGGTAATCCTGTAATAATAAGATATCTCTCCAGTCTCACTTTTTCTGATAATCTCAAACAAATCTCCTTTCTTAGCACCATAATACCTAGCCACTACATCATCAATCATAATTTGAGGTAATTGTTCTTCTTTTACTCTAATTTTCTCTAAAAATTCTTTTTTCTCTTTTTCACTCATAATTCTATGCTTACTCACCAATTCATGCTTAGTTACATTAAAAAGTAATTCATTTTCTTTAAAAATTTCTACATTTATTTCCTTGTATTCTTTTAAAAGATCTATCACCTGAGGAGAGTATCCTTCCACACAAGCTATGATTATATTTGTTAAGTTATGTTGTTTAGCATTGTCTAAGATTACTCTTACATTCTTTACTGACAGTTTTTGTTCTTCTGAGAAATACACTAAAATTTGTTTGTCTGATGATTTATAAACCTGTTCTAATTGACCTGGATTAACAAATGTGTTACTAAACTCTGTGTATGTCATTGATATGTCTGTGTCTGGTACAGTATATCCTCTGTCACGTAACATTTCTAAGATTGTTCTTCTTTTTAGGAAAAGACATTGGATTCTTTCACTCATAGGATTATTAAAATAAAAATTTAAAATAAAAATTTAAAATAAAAATAAAAATAAAAATAAAAATAAAAATAAAAATAAAAATAAAAATAAAAATAAAAATAAAAATAAAAATAAAAATAAAAATAAAAATAAAAATAAAAATAAAAATAAAAATAAAAATAACTGATTTTTAAAAAATTAATACAAAAATATTTAAATTTTTAATATTTCTTTTTTAATTTATCCCATGTCTGACGAAAACAAAGCCATAAACGCAGAATACATGTGCTGGCGAAAAAACATTTCTTCTCTATATTCAATGATGGTAAATCACTCAATAGAATGGCCTGCTTTAAGTGTACAGTTTTACCCTGATTACACCAGAACAAACAATCTTACCACTCAAAGGTTACTTATTTCTCCTCACACTTCTGGCCAGGATCAGGAATATTTACACATAGTAGAGCTAACTTTACCTGATACAGTGGATGATGCTGAGACTGAAGAGTGTTTTAAATTAAAAATTGTTCAGAAAATAGCATTGAGTACTGAGGTTAACAGAGCAAGGTATTCATACCTGTCACCTAATTTGATAGCAGTCAGGTCTGACGAAAAGGAAGTATTGGTATTTGATTCTACAACACACCTTTCCAATGAAAAGGCTTGTAAACCAGATTACATTCTAAAAGGACATGAAGCAGGGGGTTATGGTTTAGATTGGTCTTTCTTTGAAAGTAACATTTTATTGTCTTGCGGCGAAGATAAAAAGATTATTTTATGGGATATTACAAAAAATTCATCAAACTTTTTTGAAGGACACAAAGGAGTGGTAAATGATATAAATTTTAATAAAATCAATTTAAATCTGTTTATAAGTGTAGGTGACTCAAAACAAATGATTTTATGGGATAAAAGAATGAACAACCCAGTTAAAGTATTAGAAGCACATTCCTCAGACATTCTATGTTGTGAATTCAATCCTTTAGAAGAGAATATTTGTGCTACAGGTTCAGCTGATTCATCTTTAAAAGTGTGGGATATAAGAAATTTAGACAATGCTTTGTTTAATTTAATAGGTCATAAAAAAGAGATTTCAGTTGTTAGATGGTCACCGCATGTTTCTTCTCTTTTAGCCAGTGGTTCGTATGACAGAAGAGTAATTTTATGGGATCTTAAAAGGAATACTTTGGTTGATCAAGAGGCACCTTCAGAAATGCTGTTTATGCATGCTGGGCATACAAATGTTATAACTGATATTGCATGGAATCCTTTAGAGAAGTATGAATTAGCTTCTACTGCAGAAGATAATATTTTACAAATCTGGTCAAGAGGAGAAGAGAGTGTTTAAAATAAATGATTTAATCTTANANNTTATAATAAAACAAATTTATTTATGAAAAGGTAATTTGATTTTGTGGAGTAATCTTTTTTTTTATTGATTGATTTTGAAATAAAGTTAATTTTTAATAAATTAATTTTAAATTAATCAATTAAAAAAAGGATTTAAATAAATAATTTTTATGAATGAGTAAAAATTGTAATTACATCAAAAACAATTATAAATATAAAATATACATGGCATACACTCATGAATAATAATATTACCATTTGATTTGAAAGTAATTTAATAAAAAATACATTATTTTTCGGACAAAAAAAAAGATTAACAGATATTCTGAATTTTTTTATTCAATAAGGTTGTAAATCAATTTATAATTCTTTGGAAAAAAATCACGAAATATCTTTTTGTAGAAAAGAAGAATATTTTTTAGTATCTGGTTTTAAATTAAACATTTTTAGAGTAAATATATTTTAAGAAAGTTTATATCTGATAAAAAACAAATACAATTAAATGCATTAGGTAAATTTACGAGAATATAGGATTTTTAGTATACTTTCAAACAGAGAATACCATTTAATTAAATGATAATGAATGTACTGATTGATGAATGTTGCAATGTTTATAGAAACATATTTTACATTGTGTTTCATGTTTGAATAAGTGTTTTATCAGAAGGATAGTTATAGCTCTTCGTATGAATTTATCATCTGTAGACATTATAAAATATTACAAATTTAAATATTTTATAAATTAGAAAAACATTAACTACAAAAAGACAATTATAATCTCATACAAGAATATTTTTATTTTTAATAGTTCCCAGGGATAATAAATCCATACGAAGAACTTTTCGCTATACCTTCTATAAAAGAAATAGAATTTTTTATTGTTTGATAAAAAGTAACACTATCTTTAAATAAAAGAAATGAAAACAATGTAAATTGGACAATTAATAATGAAAATAAAAAATGATTCAAAATTTATAAACAAAACACCATATTTGAATTAATGAGTAAATAAGAAAACAATTTTATAATTAATCTCCTAATATTTAAAACTGTTTCATTTTTGTCAGAAAAACAATAATTAATTACGTATAAAACATAAATTAATCACTCCTCCTGAAAAAATAATATAAAAGATTTAATATTG